CTGCTCCCGACTCGCGCCCGCACCAGGACCCGCGCTGGCTGCCGCCGCCGGCCGACAGTTGGCTGTCTGCGTCCCCAGGGCGTAAATCAGGCAGGACACTGCTCGCGCGTCGTGCGCCGCGCACCCGCGCATCCATGCATTCACGCACGGTACGTGTCTGTGCTCCCGTCTCCGGCAGAGCCGCGGCTGACCGCCGGGGCCGCAGCATTGCCATGCCGAGAGCCGACCACCCTTGCTACTATATTCGAGGCGGCGCTAGACACGCCCGCCCGCGTTGGGAGCGGACGCTAGCAGCCCCTCGGGGCGCGCTAGTGAAATCTTGCGGAACATCAAGTGCGCGCGCGCGGGGATTCATAGGTGGTAGGTTCCGCGCATGGCCATCCTCGCGGTGGCGCACTCCGTTCAGGCTAGGCGTCCGCGCGATCGAGGAGACACGGCCGCTGAGATACCCGCCGCGTGAAGTAGCCGAGAGAGGACGAGTCGGCGACGGTTGTGTGCATGGCTACCCGCGTCCCGCTACCATGCTGATTGTGCCTGGCGTGGCCTTATTATTTCTGTGCGTCCCGGGAGAGCCCTTTTGGCGGGACTGCAACCGTCTGCGCGAGCGCCCCGGGTCTCCCGCTAGCTGACGTTGGCGCGGAGAAGAGGCTGATTGACGCTCCCCGGACGTCGGGCTAGTAGTTGCGTGCGGCCTTATGCCATTAACATATCGGCTGCGCGATCGTTGAGGGACCGCCGTTGAGATACCCGCCGCCCGATGTGACCGGGAGAGGGCGAAGCGGCGCGGGTGTGAATCTGCGCGTCCGAGTGGGTGCCACAGCGGCCTGAAGACGAGCGGAGCATGCACCTCGACTTCATTCACGCCGACGTCGACGGGCAGCTGGCTCAGCTGCCGAACAGCGCCGCCGCCTTGCGCGCGTTCGCCTTGATGCTCTCCACCTGCAGCTCCAAGTTGCGGATCTGCGCCCGCGCCTCGCGCAGCTCCGAGTTCAACCGCGCGTTCTCGTCCTTGAGCGCCGCCGCGTCGGCGTCCTGCAAAGCCACAGCGTCAGCAAGCGCTCCACTGCACGCACCCCACAAGCACGGGGGACAACACGTACGTCTCCGGCTCCGGCTCCAGGGGCGCTGTACGCCCGAGCGGGCGTCCGAGGCTCGAGCGGGGAGCTTGGCATCGGGCTCGGCTCGGGCCGCTTGGCGGTGGGCGACGGCGTCGGGTCGATCGAGATGCGGGGCGCCGCGGCCTTGGCGAGCGTGGGCGAGGAGACGGAGGGCGTCGGCACCGCGGAGGGCGGCGCCCCAGCCGTGATCGCGCCCGTGTCGAGGCTGACGAGGTTCGGCGGCGCGGCCTTGCCGCCAAAGAACTCGCCTGCCGACAGCGCGGGCTCCGCGGACGGGGCGGGCGGGTAGATGTCCGACTGGAAGGAGTCGGACTGCGCGCGGCGTGGGTCAGTGTCAGTGTGAGATTGGGCAGGGTGGCAGTATGCATACCTTGCGGGGGACGATGAACGCGATGGCCTCGATCGAGGACCCGGCCACCTTGTACGCACGTGCGATTTCGCACTCGGAAACGTTGAGTGCGCGGCGGGGCAGGAAGCACATCCCGCGCTGCGGGTCGGACGACTTGTGCTCCGCAAGGCCATACAGCTGGTCGTTCTCGTACTCGTAGTATCTGATATT